CACCCACACCGATTGGGTGCGTTCCGCCGCTTTCTCGCTCGATGGGGAACACCTTGTTTCTGGCTCCAATGATGGCACAGTGTGCATCTGGGATGCAAGAACGAGTGCCCTCACTGTCGGCCCGCTTGAAGGGCACAGAAGGCCTGTGGTTTCTGTCTCTTTCTCGCCTGATGGGAAACACATTGTGTCACAATGCATGGGCGGCACGACTCAGCTGTGGCATTCAACAGGTGTCAAAAGCGGAACGATTCCAAAGCGTGAGGTGGTCCGTTCGTCTTTCACTTTTCTGCCTGATGAGGTACAACACGTTGTGGAAGGGTCCAATGATGGCACGATCCGTGTATGGGATGCGCAAACGGGTGCACTCATCGGTGGGCCATTTAAAGGGCATTCTGGAGAGTTTAAATGCCTCGTTTCCTCGCCTGATGGGCGGCGGATTGTGTCGGGGTCAACGGACTCAATGGTACGCATGTGGGACACGGACACAGGATCCCTCATTCCCGTGCTGCTTCAAGGGCACACCCGGACAGTATACTCCGTCACATTCTCTCGGGACGGTAAATGGATTGCATCTGGGTCCCTCGACCGAACCGTGCGTGTATGGGATGTGCAAACTGGGGTTTGTGTCACTGGTCCATTTGAAGGGCACAGTGCACTAGTCTACTCTGTTGCTTTCTCCCCAGATGGCAGACGGGTCGCTTCTGGCTCCAAGGATAATACGATTCGTGTTTTTGAGGTTTGGCCTTCACCTTAGCTGCACTGAACCGCATCTGATATCTCAACAGATCAATCCCGACTCTACTCCGCACCAACGCTTCGGAGATGGTTCGACGCTCAAGGACGGATGGATAATGAACTCGGCATCTCAAATCATACTCTGGATCCCCCCTTGGCTCCGCAAAGGTCTGTACCTCTCGCAAAATTCGCTTGTCATCTCTTGGGAGGGCACGACAAAATTGGATGTTAGTCGGTTTGTCCTTGGTACGCGATGGGAGGAGTGTATCGATCCGAAGGTCCGCGGATGACTCTTTCTTAATTCTGAACATGTAGTTTGCCGATGTATATATGATAAATTGAGCCCCAGCGGGCGCCCCAGCTCGACGATCAGAGAGGAAGCCCATGCACGTGAGAGAGGAATACTTGGGGCGAAGAATGATTAACGACGCTGGGAATGAAAATTTACTGTCATGGAAAGTTCTCCGTCGAAGATGTCTCCAAAGCAACTACTACAGCTAACAAGCATTGATTACAGGTGGAAGGGTTCTTCGGTCATCGATCGATGTCCCAAATCAAGATGCCGTTCCTGCCGGAAGACGTGACGTTGAACAATATAGCGGATGGACGTGAGTTTGTCCGTACTCGTCGAATCCAGAGTCTTCACGCGGAATGCGGAGCGACTTCGCTCTGATTTGAATTTAAAATATTCGAGTACCCGGAATCGTTGCTTTTTGATATTTTATGTACGGCGAATTCCTTTCGGATTACATTATCGCGAGCTGAGCGGTGGGAATGAACATTGATTGCAACTTGAAGCCTTTATGCACACGTATAAGCCGGCGGCAGGTACTTTGAGATACATGTCGAGTCATGACTTTGGGACGCTCATCGACTTACATCGACGGACGAGGTACGATAATGAAGGTAGCTCGAGGTAGATCAATGTAAGCTCGGATGTCGTGGTTTCACGCAGTGCGTCTGCCGGTGCATGCGGGCGTTTATTGAATGGACAATCCCTGGTAAACAATATCCATACGAGTGGGATGGACATGATTGGGAGCAAAGAAGACTCCCGTTCGATTCGGGGTCAGGTCATCACTTTTCCTTTTTGTCACGTTAAATGTGGTCGAAAATGAACTCACCTTGAGCGCCGCGAAGCACCCTCATTCGAAAATGAATTGGCCTGCTTACTGTTTGAGGGGGGGTTCGATTCCATCCGCAAACATAAAAATTCAGGAAAGAAACACATTTGTGGTTCTCAATGGTTTTCAACCGCAACTCCTTGTGGATACTGTCTACGCCCGTAATCTTTCGAATCTTGCGCTGCACACGGATAAACGAATTCACCGGCAGCAAACCTCGAATGGGAATAATGAAGAGTCTGGTGAGCTCCCGCCCCTCTATCCTTCAACACAAGTTAACTTGGGAGCTGGCGCCCCCCACGAAGACCCTTCTCCGTGTAGCTGGGGCTGGATGCCTAAGGAGTGTCCTTGAAATGGGGGCAGCCGCTGAATCTGAACCTCCACGCGATTCACCTCCTAAATCTGTAGTCCGGGCGCGCCCGATAGCTCCATTGCTAGGCAAGCAGATCGCAGATTCAATTTTCCAGAAAGGGAGGCGAGCTGTGTTGGAAGGTTGGGCAGTCACACAGGGAGTCACGCTGAGCAAGGATATATAATGCAGAAGAGGCACGGGGGGTACAGATGCGTGGGGGATAAAGCTGGCGTAGTGTAACAAGATCAAGACGATATACTCTATAAGGTCATCGGGGCGGTCCGCAGTAATACGACGGATAGGGGGAAAGCCAAGGCGACACGTGCCAGGCCTATTTCAACAAGACGAGGTGCGGCGAAGGATTCGGAGGCGGGAGACAACAGGAGCACAAGTCTGAGGATCTGGACACAATCTAGATTCGAAAAAAAAAAAAAAAAAGTATGGCCTCGGCGGCGAGCTAAGATATGGCCCCCGCTTCATTCACTTCCCTCCTTTTTCGTATCACCCCAGATACACGTTCCACTCACAAATGCAACCTGAATGTACGTCTGCTTGGGCCTATTTGCCCAAGGCAGTGCGCCCTAACCCTAACGCCGGGTCTCGATCGCACCGCAAACCTCTTGCTTTAAATGCTTTTGACTCTTTCTTCAACTATGATGGCCGCAGCGACGTACGCACCCCCACCCGGCCCCCCGCCCGTGAAAACTTCCACGGCCACACAACGCAATACCCCCCCCGCCCGGCCGCCGCCGCCACACCTGCAGCAGACGTACGCCCCGCCGCCCGGCCCGGCCCCGCCCTCTTCCCTGCCGGCGCAGCCGCTCACCCCCCCCACCGGGCCCACCCGCGCCGCGGATCACAGCAGACCTAACCACTTACATCCTCCTCGCCGCCCTCCCTTTCCTCGCGCGGCACGGCTGGTTCCGGCTCCCCCTCCCCGCAGACCTCTCCGCGCGCTACAGCACCCTGCTCGGCGCCTCGTCCGCGTTCTTCGGCTTACCCCCCACAGCAGAGACGAAAACCAAGTTCGCCGCGCCGAGCTGCGCGGCCGCGTCTGACGAGGGCTTCGCGGCGATCCCGGGCGAGAAGCAGCTCGTCACGCTGCGCCGCCTCTCCTCCACGCTGCGCCGCCTCTCCTCCACCCCGCTGCCCGCGGACCTGAAGGGCGCGGCGAAGGACGCGTGGGCGGACACCGGCGCCTTGTTCAGCGCCGTGATAGAAGACATCGCCGCGAGCCTCGGGCTCCCCGCGGACATATTCGCGGAGATGGCCGCGGAGGCGAATGTAGCGAGCTTCGACCGCGAGCCGGGGCGGGCGTCGAGTCTCCTGCACCTGTTCCGGTACGAGCGCCCCGCAGCGGACGACCCCGACTTCGGCGTCGGGGTGGGCGCAAGGAAAAATGTCGTGGCGGAGGCGCACCGCGATCTCGGGTTACTAACAATCGTGGTGGGCGCGTCGCCCGGGCTGGATGCACGGGATCTCGTGACGGGCGAGTGGGTCAGCGTGGAGGACGCACCTAGCGGCGGTGGGAGTGCACCGAGCGGTGGACTGACGGCAACGATCATGTCCGGCCAGACGCTCACGTACCTCACGCAGGGGCTCCACGCGTCCGGCGTGCACCGCGTCTCTGTCTTGCCCGCGCGCCCGGATACACAAGATGGGGCATTCCGCTTTTCGCTCGTGTTCGCGCTGCGCCATCGATACGCGGGAATTTGAGAAGAGTCCGCTGGTGCGTCTCCTTCTCTCTCCTCTTAATTACTTCTTTCTTTTTTTCTTCCGAATTGCTCTATCCTGCGTTCGCCTGTATTCTATTCTATTTTACTCTCGATTCTTCCTTCCCTCGCAGGCGACGCGTCCTTCCTGTCTAATCTCTCGCCGTGCGTTGACGCTGCTTTACCCTCGCCCGTCCGCTTGCGTCCCCACGCAGACGTCCCTTTTCTATGCCCTCCTCTTTTCGCACTCCATTTTAATTTCAGCTTCTAACCCACGCGTTTTTTTTGTTTTTTTTAGATCCCCCCATTCCCGCCCGCGCCCCTGTCCTTCTCTTCTCCCTCTCCCTCTTCCACCTCTCCACCATCCTCTACCTCCAATAACTCGCACGCAGAAAGCAACTTCCCGCACTGCTCGATGCACTCCCAGCCCGCCGCGGAGCTCTTCCGCGCCATTGCCGCAAGACACTGGAATGTTAATGTGGCGCCGGAGGTGAGGGAGGGGCAGAAAAGGAGGCGGGAGGAGGCGGCGCGCGTGGGGTTGGGTGAAGCGCCAAGGGATCCGGGCGTAGCTGATGCGCTGGGGGAGAGAGTAGGGGAGACAACTGAAGCACCGGAGGGGGGAGTAGGGGAGACGGAAGGGGTGGCGCGTGGAGAGGGGCCGCGACCTGATGTGTGCTATACGTAATAGGAATGCGAAGTCTTCAGACGGTCCGGAGTACCGCTCGATTCGTTCCGGCGTAATGTGAGTACTCCCATTTTCCCCTGAAATCCCACAGTGGAAGCAGCAGAAGGAAAAAAAAATGGTCTGCTCGTAGTGAAACTCCCTATCTGTGGTGAATTATCCCACTAGTAGCGTCTTCGAGTTATACTCCGACTTCATTTTCGAAGCACTTTTATGTCGTTCTCGCCGGCGAAAGAGGGCATCAGGAAGGGATAAGATAATGAATAATCTCGTTGTCGCGGTTCTGTTCTCTATTAAAACTAGTCGACTAATTATAACCTAGAAGTCCGAGGGTTGAGGCCACTGTCAACCGCTCGGCACTTGCCCTTGATCTGAGTTACAGCCCCGCATTCGTCGGCCTGATGGCACAGTTTGTAGTGCATCTGCAGAAGTTTGAAGTTGATGATTATGATTTCGGCAGAAGACCCCCGTTCGATTCGGGGTCAGGTCATCACTTTTCTTTTTTGTTACGTTAAAGGTAATCAAATAAATTGACCTTGAGCGCTGCGAGGCGGATAATTCTATTTGGAAACCCGGTTGCGGGCAGAAACCCTTCCGCATTAGGAAATTCCGTAGAAATCCCTGCCAAAGGTTAATGAGAAGCCCTGTGGGAATAACTTGACGGCGATCAAGCCGTCAGCGGAGTGTCAAAAATGCCTTCTAGTTTTTCAACCGAGTTGAACCGACTGTTCGTCAAGAGTCAGTCAACTAACCTCTGTGCTTATGGAGCAATGTATTATACTTCACTGATCTCTTGCCGGTGTGTGCCAGGACAGTACACCAATTAATACCAAACCTGCATTTGATCCCATGTTGAAAGCCTGTTGGGCTCACACTTTTTATAGCTCAACCGGGAGATAGAACACAGTTAAGCTCAATACAGTCATCCTACCAGCTCTACATCCCCAAACCATGTACAGTAGCATGCACCACACATCCAACATTGAGCAATGACATAATGGATCCCCGGCACAGAAGAAGTCTGGCAGGTGAATCGGGTCCTAGTACAATTCTCAATTATCCTTTCCTCCTGTTGAGCGTCCCACAGTTCAGGGAATTTATTCTGCACAGTACTACTCAATCGGCACGTTGATCGGCATCGGCCGGCACTGCGATCGGCATCACCTGGGGTTTCCAGCAACCCATTTTCTGGATAACAAACTCAAAAACCGGGTTTCCAGATAGAATTATCCCTGCGAGGCACCCTCATTAATATTCCCAAATGAACTGACCCGTGGTTTGAGCAAAGAACCGGTGGTTGTTGGCGCAGATAGATTGAGTAAGGGTTTGGACGTGGTAAGACGTCCGACTTCACGTAGATAGTAGGTGTGATCAAGTTAAGTTAGATTCATAGTATGGAATACAACTGCTTAAATACTACTCAGTGAACAGCCTTGGGTGAGTCATAAGAATACTCTACACTATTCTACAGTATTCCACAATGTAATAAATAGTTCCACAATGTTCCACAGTGTTCTACACAGCACAGGAATCTCCTGGCGGATTGCCCGAGATGCCCGAAGGCAGTGATTCCAACAGTGGTTCGGTCCGGCGCAAGCCTGTTTCCGCACAAGCAAGTCGGATTAGGGTGTCGACAGTTTTGTTTCCGGCAATTCTCGTAGGAGCCGCGGCGCAGTTGATGCGGATTTTGAGAGTCGGGCGCCTGCGAGAAGGTGATGGATCGGATCTGTGAAAGCGACCACTGTGGGAGAAATTTGATAGATTGGCGGTAGAGGAGGGAAATGTGGCGCGCTCTTGCTGACCTTTTTTCTTCTGCTCGTTGGCTTTTAAATTGATGGCTATCTGGGAAACACTTTGCCACAGGCATGACACGCGTCGGCCAGATAGAATGCATGTCTTCATGGCTCCTATTGGCTCATGATAAAAATCCGGGTACTCTAGATCTGGTTCCTAAACACCGCTGGGGCAGATTGATTCCCGCACTTGCGATGTTCTTTCGTGCTTTCATTATGATTTTCGGAGACGCAGACAGCTGTCAATCTCAGTGTAAGGAAGATCCACCCAAGTTCCACTCAAGCCACTCATTCTATTTCTGAAGAGTTTGTCTACGAGAGACGAGAAACCACCTCTTTTATTCTTCTTCTCGAATGAAGTAGCGGACACGCAAGCCCGTAAATGATATCTCGGCCTGGAGACACAGATTATCGCACTGAATTTGCTTGATCGTCTCCATCGCAAATTATGACAAAAATCAAAGGTTGGTTATTCATACCTGCCTCAATATCATATTCAAAGCGTGGAAGAGTGAGCGGAAACTGTACTGGGTTGTCACAGCTGCCGAGTAAGTCGGGCGTCGAGTCCGATCATTCCGTGCGGAACCCTGAGCTGGGGGACGACTTTGAGGCTGTCTGGTTTTTATTTCATTTTATGTAACTCGTACTCTGGGGTTGCACCTTGAGAAGTTTGAGGTCCGGGACAGCCGTCGGCTGCATTTTTGCAAATATTGTCGTTGGGATATGAGGGCTATAGTTAGCATCTCTTCTCGAAAGTAACACTGCCTTTTTGCGATTGCTGCGTCGATTTCTATTTTCTTTTTCTCATCATTTACACTATACCATGTCATTAAAGTCTCTGGTTGAGGATTGGAGCCAAATCGCATCCTGTCAGCGGCCAGCGGAAAACCCCTTCCAAAAGTAACCGCAGCCCCTGGTACCATCAACTTCAATCACAGATTGAAATGGGCAATCTATCATTACAGACAGTTTCGAGTGTGGATGCCAGACATAAGGTTGGTTTTTATCAAAGATGATTCGCCATAGCATTCCAGGCACCACATCTCTCCCATCCTGGGTAGATACGTATGAGGTGTCGTTTTCGCGAGCATCATATCATTGGGAAGTGCAGCCATTTATCGAGGAAGATGCAACCATCTATCTACGAATCACGACACACGGTCCTCCCGCAATTTTCCCTCCCTGCGGACCGAGCAAGATTTAAAGATGGACGTATTCGACACATCGATTTCCTAGCTTTCACCACCCGCACTGGGGCTTGTTTATCTGTCCTTCTGTGCATTTGCCGCAGTTCATTTCAGCTTCTCCTTTATACCATGCGATTCCTCTCCGCGATCTATCTTTCCTCCATCCTCTCCTGGGCCGCCATTGCCGCCCCTCTCCTCGGCCCCGCCCGCGATGATGTCGAAATTTACCGGGAGGTGCATATCCAACCTGTTCAACTTGTTCGTCGGCACCCAACGCCTCGTCAGGAGCATGATAACTCTGCGCTGCCCCCCCGCTTGCCCACGGATGTACTCGAAGAGCTCGATATCACAGCGCGCGATCCAAAGCGCGACGCCGAGGTCAATGCGGTGAGCCCCCTCGGTCGAGCCGCGTCCTGCAACAAGACTGACTTGCGCTTCCAGCGTTTTGTTTCTGGTGAGACTGAGCTCACGCAGGACAGAGGCCCTCAAGGTGGTGGGTGTGTCATTGCATGAAATCCGCCCTGCATCGCATGTGTCCGGTTAACAATCCGGTCCATGCACGTCCCTGAAGTGCAGCCACTGGCAGCCACCATCTAACACTTTGTTATCCCGCTCTTTCGCTCGGCCTTCTTGCGGCACCATGTAAAATATAGTTTCCCTGATACCCATCTTCCCCTTCTCACCTGATCAAATGATGATACACCCGGAGGCGTCCATCGTGATCATCTTCCGGCGGGTTCCGAAGAGGCTGTATATAAACCCGCAGGGCCGGTAGTGTGAACGTCCATCGGATCCCGAGTTACAAAGACTTCTTTATGACAATCTCAAGTGATGAGGGCCTAGCTGTGCTGTCCATGGGCTTGAGCCATCAATGGGCAGGAGATCTTCCCGTTATGGTCCATGCGGATCGGGTTGTGAGCTACGGGGTTTCTGGGTGAGAAAATCGTAGACACAAGGAATCTTGATGGCGCGAGATAGACTTCAGAATCAGAAATGAGTCGGTGAAGTCTACGTGTTTGAAACCAAGACTGTCCTACTGCTAAACTACTAGTGAGTATTTATACCTAACTACAAGTACATACGGAACCGAACTACGAGTAATTTGACTGGGGGCAGGAGCTGCGCAACTACGGCACAGTAGTTGCGGACTCCGGCACAGTAGCCGCGGACTCCGGCACATGGAGCCGGAGCGAAGCCGCAGTGATGGACTGATTGATGTAGTGAGCGGGTGCGTGATCCTTACACGGGTCGGATTGTCGCGGAATCTGGCTGACGGCGCTGCGCGGTCATCGAGCACGGAGAAAAGAAAATTGAATTTACGATCTCCATCACTGGCCTCGAGCTACTCGAACCACCGTCTCTCTTTTTTGACTCGGAGTCAACAGGCATCGATGCATCACTGGACGAACACGATTCTACATATGTCTTCGGGTGGAACGGCTGCTCACAGATCGCTCATAAATTCCTGAGAAGGCGGGAGCGACTTGTTCCAGTGTATTTCCCAAGTATTTCCTTACTCAAGGCAAACTCAAGGTGTTTCAAACAGGACGTCGGATCAGGTGATTATAAACACTGTGCCGCATATTTGGCCTTGGGGAAAATTTATGCCTTTCCATGTGGCATACACGCTCACAATGATATAAGGAATTCAGTTTTTAATTCAGGTATCGAAGCCATTTAGGCCATAAGCCATCAATTTGCGCCCCGCCAAAAAGCGATCTGATGGCTTGATTCTGCAAGCCTGGCTTGTGCGCAACCTGTCTACTATCAACCTAAGCCCTGCATTTGCCCACCTGATAGCACAGTACATCTACAACTTATACAGTATGTGATGCGAGCAATGTTTCGGTAGAAGACTCCCGCTCGATTCGGGGTCAGGTCATCACTTTTCTTTTTGGTTATGTTAAATGCGATCGAAAATAAACTCACCTTGAGCGCACCCTCTCGAAAATGAATTGGTCTATTTAATCTTTGAGCGAGCGACCCGGTGGTTTGATTCCACCCGCATACATAAAGATTCGGTGGGAAAAACGCCTTTCAAGTTGTGTTCTGCATGGCTCACCGATAACCGAATTCGCCGACAGCAAACCTCGAATGGGAATAATGAGCGCTCGAAGAGTCTGGCGTGTTCTACGAAGACGCTTCTCAGTTTCACTGTGGCTGGATAGGCGTGTCCTTGACATCTGAGAAGCCGCTCGATGGGAACATCCGCGCGGTTCACCTACTAAATCTGTCGTCCGGGCGCGCCCGATAGCCCCATTTCTCACCATTTTCTGCGAGAATGTTCCTCGGGGAATACAAAGTTGTACGCCGATAATTGAGACATTGTTGGCTATATCTCCTAAACTACCACGTCTACGGACGGATTTAAATCACTAACGTCCTACTTTGAATACCGCCGGCGCTAAGGACATCTTCACTGGTCGCAAGACGCTCCAGGCTCTCGGCTAGGTCCGGCGCAAGCCTTTTTCCGCATAGGCGAGTCGGATTAAAGTGTCGACAGTTTTATT